ATCGCTTATCCGGATCTCTATCAACCGGCCGTCTTCTTTTATATAATTTCCATCTTTTACCTGCCTATCATCCGTTACAATGGCTACGAGCCAAGTTGCTAAAATCTTTTGTCTGAATTTGAAAATAAAATTACGGCAAGCGCGGCCGCGGCCACGCCGGTGGAAGCGGGGGTGGCAGGGGGAGGCGGAGGAGGCGGCGAAACACACACATAAGACGCGTTGCTCGCGTGTGAGTATCAGTGGTCACACGCGAATTCGGGATGCGGGATAAAAAACACAGGAAATGCATTCACCGTCCGGGCTAATGATGACGAATGGCGCGCGATATTATCACGGCGTCATGTGCCGTTGGCGAAAAACCATTCGTTCATATTAGGAAGTTGATTTGGATTTAATGGGGGAGCATCGTTTGCCAGTTTAGCCGCGCTTTCGTCGTGCTTTTCATTCCAACTTTTGGGAAATTCATTACCAATTACGCCGTGCGCGGAGTTAGCGAAATGTTATATGTATGCACATATATTTACGGCGGTGCTTAAGGAAGCAGCCCCGCTCTAATTTTGATATGGAAGATCTTTCGGCGAATTTAAAGTCGATTTATCTTACACGGGGGGAAATTTTTCGAGGAAAAGTTGACGTTACAATTTTTCAACAACCAACCACGTTGACTTAGTAATAAATCCTGAATTAAAACGCGAAGGAAATAAATCTATATATAAGCAGATTGTGATTTTTGTTCTTTCACCTCTGGCGTCCCGGAATATTATAACGAAAATATATCCATCGGTGCCTCGCAGATTTTAATTAAGAAAAAGTCGACTCCAAATTGATCAAAGAATCCGTCATTAAGTTAAAGTAGGAGATGCCGCGATATTCTGTGCAAACACTCTCTATCGTCAGGGTAAAGAAACATCGTATCCGTCTTTTAAATGAGAGAGGGTGCAAATCTCGGGACATTTTCCGCGAAATTATTAAGCACTTTCGAGAGAGCTTTCACACTTCCCTCCGTAATAAACAGGCCATTGTAAGGGAAGGGTGAAATGGGAACGGGGTCAAGATCGACTTTTCTCTCGATACCACCAAATGAACTTATAACTTCCGTTGGAAACCGATTATCCGGAAGTGCCACTTTCCAGGTAATAAAAGAGAACTAGCAGTAGGACCATTGCTCTTCGTCTCTCCGTGTACCCTGCAACCCTTTCTTTCCCTTCTTCCCACCCCCTTCTTCCATTCTATGTATATTTGTTCTGGTATAGAAATCTATATACGCGGTGCTAATGAGAAATAACGTTGCGTTTCATCGTCATGATGAAAAAGCGAAATAAATGAATGGTTGTATTTTAATTTTATTTTAATCCCCGTCGAAAGTGTTCTAATTCCCGTTTTGTCGATATCTCTTACAAATTATTCAAGATGTTTTATGCAGGAGGTCTTATTTAATCCTCAAGACGTTGACGGGGTGAAATAGAAAACGAGACGATATCGGTAGGAAAAGGAGAAAATGTGTGAATTAGCAATTTGGATCGCGCTTGACTTCTGTATAAGGGGAATCTTGTAAAACTTCCGGCCAACTTTTCCGCATTACCTTCAAGTTACTGAATCGACGCTTTTATAAATCATCATCCCTTTCAATCTATCTCAAAATGGATTGCTCGTTTACATAGGAGATATCAAATAATCTTCGCGATCTATTTGTAAACGCTGTATGAATTTGGATAAACAGTGCAAATTAATGTTTGTAGTTGCCGCTGCATGCTACATGCGTTACGGTACGAGATTGCTAAAACATACGACGGTAAGTAGCGTCCCTATTTGAAAAGAAGAATCGCATATTCCAGTATAAATTTACCGTTCGCAAGATAAAGTCCCGAGAAAAACAGATTGTCGTGGAGAAAAAAAATTGACTCGATTAAAAAATTTATTCGCCAGACGCGAGTAACGGGATGTAAGGGTATGACGTCGTGATACTTGCAAAATATTTGTACGATAAACAATAAATAAATATATAAATCTTCGAGGGGAGGCTGTAGGACGAATCCGTACCGTTAAACGTACTCGCGAATTGAAAGGAATTGAAGGAGACACGCGAGCTTTCTTTTCAATCTCTCTCTCTCTCTCTCTCTCTCTCTCTCTCTCCCCGAGTCTAAAACGGGACGATTCGTCCCAGCTGAAGATTTATATATTTATTTATTGTTTCGCGCACAAACTGCAACTGTTACTTTGCCGAGTAAACTCTTGCCGGGCGGTGAAATTGCATTCCCCTGGAACAAAGCGTTGAATCCTAGGAGAGAAAAGAGGATGTGCCGGGATGTATCGCGTGGCGTGCATGTATCATTGCGCATCGATTTGGCGATGCGTGCGACAAACTACGCGACTAAATCCCTCGTGCGGCGCGCTGACGACCGACGTCATTAAATTTAATTACAAACTATCGAAATTATTGGAGAGCTCGTCGCGGACCGGCTACCACGGTAACGACCGTACGATTCAACGTGCCACCCGCGAAACTGGCCGTGGCCTATTCTGTGTACAGCTATGTGTGCCGCAATCGTTTTGCAAACCGAGTGCAACAACGGACGTCGTCTGTCCGTGATAAATCTGTCCTTCGATGATTAACAAATAGCTCTATTCCAACGCGATTT